AGCCCCACAATAAATTCGGAAAAAACTTCACCTTCCCCGTCATTGTCTTCGGCGTCTATCCCGTCTCCTTCCTCTTTATCTCCTGGAAGCACATCACCGGATATGCCAAGAAAGAGGGTCAATCCCGCATTTGACAAGGTATGTTTTTATCGCGCCTATTTTGTCAACTTATTTGCTGAAATTTAGGCAAAGGAAAAGTTTGCCAGTGGAGCAGCAGCTGGATCTGGCTTCAAAATGGACATGAATCCGCCGAAGGAATCAGTGCGGCGTTCAGCTAGTCCTAGTGTTAACCTTATGAAAGAGAAATTAGAAAGTGAAGAGACTACAAAAGTGGTAAGGGATTATCTTTCAAGATGTCTTTGATAAGCACAACATGAGCGATTTGGTGGTTCCTTTACACCCTTCCCTTCCAATAATGCCTTACTTGTAATCAGTGAGTACCATCTATCAACTCTCACATATATAATATATACAGGCTTTGCAGAATACCCATTTCTTCTAATTCTGCACAGCTAAAAGCTCCAACAACCATTTTGGAAAATTATTAACCAACTATAATCTGACTGTGCTTATCCCATCGTAGCTTTTCAACTTGTTACTCTTTAAGTCTGCTAGTATTTATCAAAACAACAAGCTTTCACATCTTTTGAAATTGTGGGTTGCTGGCACTGCTTCTTCTCTTCTCACTGGTAAATATCGAAACCTCTGCTAGTCAAGAATCTTTTCCTTCCTATCCTAACATAGCAAGAACACATCAAACAACCTTTACCTACCATTAGGATGTTATGGGTCATAACTAGTCCCAGTAACATGTTTATCTAAATGAGAAAAGGAGGAGACGTGACTGCCGAGTTGACTGAGGCGAAGGCAAAGCCCACATTTTAGCGTTTGGTTCTACCTACTTCTCGTCGAGCTAAGTCTAAGAAATAAGCAGGTGAACTAGGCATGAAAAAATGAAGTGCTAACCCAGTGAGTGCCCACTAACCTCGTGTTGGTTGCAGTTTTAGCAATGAGTAGCTCTTATCTATACACAAACATACTAGCTACAGTACATGAGCTGCCAATTTCCATACGCAAGCATGATTACAGTTTTATGGTCGCTTTCTTTTACGTACTATGATTTTGTGCTGTTTGTAGACATTGCATATACAGGATATTGCCAGAATTAGAATTTTGTCTTTTTAGAAACGGGTGATCAATGTGCCCATCTCAGCCCCCTGGTATAAACGCTCGTTATCTACAACGCAGGCTCCGGAGACAGGTCGTGCACATAGAGTAGGTTTCTCACTCTGTTATTGGAGAAACGGCCAAATGAGTATGACCATAGGAATAGTTAGAGACAATTACGTACTAGTTTTTATGTTGCTCATACATCAGTTTCTTAGCCCCTTTCTACTCCATCGATATTTTAGGTAGTAGTTAGAATGGACCCGTTTTCGTCTCTCGATGTCGACACAATTCGAAGGAACTATCAATTCAATATCGACTTGTCCAGCGACTCTCCCTTGTCTATTGTAAATAGATAAAATTTATTTGTGTGGTTGCTCATCCTCATTGATGCTTGACGTCGTTTCCGAGTGTCCGAGCTGTGCGGGTTCGCCGTTCTGCTCTCAATCCCATTGCCCTAGCCGGTTGCGCTTTCATGTAAACTTTTCCAATAGCTCGTCCAATCAAAGATTTTGCACAAGACGCTCGAAGGAAGACGGGCTCAGCTGGTCGATCCCGTTCTTTGCGTTTTCCTATCTTTCATTTCGTCAGTCTCCGCATATTGCTCGCATAGTGTCCAAGTTCTCTCACCGTGTCTGACGTTCGATGTTCGACCTTTTCAGGTTCGCATTGCGTATTCATCGCTAATCTCGTCGCTAGTCATTTTGTTCGGCTTTTCTCTCATATAAATTATAGAATCACGAGT